TGAAGGATGAGCTGGTGACAGAACCAGGTCTTGAAGAGGTTGAGCACCTGGAAAATTCAGCTCATGAAGGAATTGGACGTATAGCTACACGCCAAGCCTTTGCAAAGTTTGCTTTTGAAAGTTACTCTAACGTTGAGAGATTATCAAATCAGAAGCTGCTGTGGATGTGGAAGCAGATGATGATGATTCAGAGGAACTTGGCTACTAAGGAGCCACACAGTACTGATCCTCAGCCTAGATCCGCTAGCAACCAGATAAGCGGGGAAACTGGAAAGCAAGGACAAAGTCTGGGACAATATACCTATGATGGTAGAACGTACCTAAAAGTCCTATTTTGGCTACGAGACCAGACTGAGAAAAACCTCAGATGCTTCAACTGCCACATGCAAGGACATATTGCATATAACTGTCCTGAGAGTGAAGAGCCAATAACATGTGACATAGGAATAAGGGCTCTGCATAGGATAGTATTGACTTGCTTAAAGATGGGTGTGGTGACTGGTGGTGTTACAGCACAGCTAAAACTGGTGATGGTGGTAGGGAAGAGTGCACAAGCACTGATAGATTCAGGGAGTGAGGTTACTTTGATGAAAAGTGTTCTGTTCCAGCCATAGTATGCAGCTGCCTACCTTGATGTGGTGTTTCACAAGGTGGATTGCGTTGCACACCTGATGAAGTTCCGGTTAGTTGTGAATAATGTAAGGGCTACCGGTTTGACCGCTAACACTGCTAACTATTTGGGTTATCCTATTGGGTGGGGGCTCCTTAAACTACAAGGGAGCAAGGTAGCAGCCATCTGCAATAGGCCACTTCCTGTAACTGAGAAGCTAGTCAGGGCTGGTAGAGCCCTAGGTGTTATGAATGTTCATGGTTTGTGTTCTAAGGCCGCTCGACCCGATGGGGAGGATATGTGATAAAGTGAAGGGAGATAGGCCTATAACATTTAACCCCAGGGGGAGTATGTGTAGGATGTGTTGTAGGCAACACAAAACACTGTTTAGTTATGGGCCCCTGGGGTGGAGCATTTGGAGAGAAGGGTGGGCCAATGCTCCACTCCACAGTTTAGTGGTTTTCTGGGGAGACATAGATCCAGGCCAGGGTTTTTTGGACCGTCTCCAACCCACTGCTCAGCTGCAGTTAATGAGCTGTTGCAGTGGGAATAAACCCCTCCCGGCTAGGCAGGAAAAAGGAGAGGGATTGCTGGCTTCCTCCCAGGAAGCAGGTAGGAGAGAGAGGCTGTTCTCTCCAGATAGAGTCAAGGAGACTAGGCACTTGGAGTGCAGAAAGGAAGCAGTCAGGGCAAGGCTGGCTTGGAGCACTGGGAGTGCAGAAAGGAAGCAGTCAGGGCAAGGCTGGCTTGGAGCACTGGGAGTGCAGAAAGGAAGCAGTCAGGGCAAGGCTGGCTTGGAGCACTGGGAGTGCAGAAAGGAAAGCAGTCAGGGCAAGGCTGGCTTGGAGCACTGGGAGTGCAGAAAGGAAAGCAGTCAGGGCAAGGCTGGCTTGGAGCACTGGGAGTGCAGAAAGGAAAGCAGTCAGGGCAAGGCTGGCTTGGAGCACTAGGAGTGCGGAAAGGAACGCAACAGGCTAGCCAGCAGAGTGTTGCTAACTAATAAGGTTGGTGCCATATGTTTTGTTAGTTTAACCCTGATAGAGAGGGACGTTCAAAGTTAGTTAGTGCTCAGACCGAGCTAGGTTTTTGTTTATAAGGTTTTGTGTTAAATTTGTTTTCATTTACTGCTGTATCCTGTGTGAACTTACAAATAAAGTGCCTGGAGTATTTGCAATTACAAGGACTGTGCATGTTTTTGCCCTAGAGGACCGTGCTACCTGCTGACAAGGATCACAATATATATATATACACACACACACACACACACACATACATACATACATACATACATACATACATACATCTATTGTGTTATTGTGTGTGTATATAAATGTGTATGTGTTTAGTAGATAGTTCCCTTATTTGGTGTCCTTAAATATTGCAATCTCACATTGTGGCGGTCTGCCAGAGTTTTCCCGCCACGGAGGCCCTTTTCCCAATATAAATCAACAAATAATCCCACATGCAAAATAACACTGGTGTAGCATAATCCCCCACAAATGAACCAACGCTTAATGCTGGGAGAAGACTGGTTTAATGGAAGTACAGGCATCAAATTTATACCATCAGTAAACTCCTCCTCTGTCCTTAAGATATAATTGAGTCAGGAACTGTACAAACAATTATCTCCAGGGTAAAAAAAAAGCATAATAATTCTTGAACACCCTAAAAATATCCCCAAAATACATGGAAACCCCACAAAAGTCACATCCCCGGATAGCATGGATCGGGGCGAACAATATATCCAAAAATCACCCAGATCCGTTTGGTAGTTTTTGATCGCCATCGCTGGGAAGTTCTGACGGTTCTGCCATGAGGTTGAGCCCAAAATAGTTCCAGGGAAGTTGTGGCAAGAGCCGGTCTCCGCTCGTGGGGTTTTGTAAGAAAACCACATAAGTTAGACGAAAGCTGATTCATGTAGAATGTTCCATGTGTTCGGTAGTCTGTAATTCCCATTACCGTTCGTGAAGCTGTAGGGGACATGCCGTAGGTCCATGATGACCGGTGTTCGCGGGCGTGCCTTGTCGAAATCAGTTTCAGGCACTCGACGACCAAGTCCTGCTGCCAGCGTTTGGGAGACAAAATGGCCACCATCCATTGTTCCATGTTCTAATTGGTCTCTGGGGTGGCCTCGGTTTAGGAACTGGACAAAATAAACAAAATGCAATTTCACATGAATCTAGTTCTGCGAAAGAAGCCGAAAGTGATGGGGATATTTCTTCACAAGGATAACAAATAAGTGAGTTATCTACTAAACAACTGAAAGACTAAAATTAAGAAAATTACTTTTTAAAATTTTGATCTTTTAGCTGTTTAGTAGATAATTCCCTAAATTGGTGCCCTTATGTGAGATTTCCATATTTAAAGATAGCAAATTAGGGTGTTGTTTAGCAGATAGCTCCCTTATTTGGTGTCCTTAAGTATGGCAATGCCACATAAGGATAGAAAATAGGGGAGTTATCTACTAAACAAAGATCGACGTTAAGAGGTGTCAGCCTGCCAAGAACAAGAAATCTATGCAAATTTATCTGGTGCCAGCATGAGCCTGGCATCAGACAGCCAATGGCAGTACATTACCCCATCCCCTAGTGATAAGTATTCCCCCCCCCATTTTGACTGTGGTGTCCAATGTGCCCCACCCTCAGACAGCCACATGGCAGCACATTACCCCATCTCCTAGTGAAAGGTATTAGTGCCCCCCCTAGTTTTGACTGTGGTATCTTATGTGCCCCCTCAAATATTGTTCCTTGAGTCACCGCTGTGTCTACATTTGTGTCAGTGTGTGTCTGTGTATATGTGTGTGACTGTGTGTCTATGTATCTGCATGTGTCAGTGTGTGTGTGTGTGTGTGTGTGTGTGTATATATATATATATATATATGTATATATGTATGTGTATATGTGCATACATCTCAGAATCTCGCCAAACTTACACACACCCTTGCATTTCAACGTCAACACTACATACAAACCCCACCTTTATTTATAACCACACCACTGCATTCAAAAACCACACTACACACAAATGCATGCTTGCATTCAAACACCAACACTACATACAAACACACACCAACATTCACTCACACATACTCCATACCAAAACATGCTAACATCCAAACACACAAACACTGCTCAGTGATAAATACATTAAGAAAAAAATGGGCGCTTGTTTTTAACATTTTAATGTTAAGGGGGGGGGGGAGGGGATGTGGGGTCAAAAATAGGACCAATCCCGGGTTCCAAATGCTCTAGGCACGTCCCTGGGTAGAGGTAATGTTCTTCTAACTCCTGAAACTGAATATTGGTGGCCAATATGGGAAATACTGTTGTTCATGTTAGTAGTAATTGTAAGCATTTGCTTATTGGTAACCAGGTCACATTACTGTTGTAGTGTTTATTGAAATATCAATACCTAATGTACCTTTTGGATTACTATATATTGGACATTTGCCACCATCTCATGGTTAAAAATATGTTTTAGTATGTGTTAATGCATGTACCAGGATTACTTGGTTATATCCTGTGTGAAGCGCAACCTCTAGCACCACAAATTTTAGGCACCCATCCCCTAAGTAGTGGGGTTCTGGAAAGGAAAAGGCAGAGGTAACATGACTATTAAAATTGCTAGTTGCTTGCCCCCACACAGTGGTATCCACTTACTCCTACGGTACAGAAGAGCATTGACACAACATGTGAAATTTTATATGATGTACCTTGTAACACATTTTTCATTGATGGCTTCTGCATCAAGGACATTACAACAGTTTGTTCTGTTAGAAGAAATTAGGGATTTTGTTTTCCCAGCCGCCACACACCGCACACCACCACCTACTACTTGGATTCCTACTGTTGGTCAGTTTGTACTGGAGAGGGTAACTCCAAGAGCTTTTATTACAGAGAACAATCAGATCCAACAGAGAAAAGTAAGCTTTGATCTTTTAAAACCTGCTAAATCCAAGCAGTGGCCAGATTATCTGATTTTAACAATGTATCTTTAAATAATTGAATCATGATAGTTAACGATCATATGATTACAATAACTGCAATAATGAATAATGTTTTAACACTAGTCTAATTAATATAAGTGACGTACTTTAACTGACTGATACAATGGATGCTGTTAAAGAAGGCAAGATAAAACACAGGACGTCAGAAATACCACCAGAGTCCCAACCACCAGAATCCCAACCTCATAACAGACTGAATCGTGATATGACATCTGAACCTGGAAATGTGAAGAAGGATGAACAGATAGACATTATTATCAGAAAGACTCTGGAGAAAACAGACTGAACCTTAAGTATCTTATACAGTAAGAATGAAATGCAAAGATGGAAGCAACAGGATGCTAGAAAATTGGTTATGGTATGTCCTTCTTACAATCTGCAGCATTATCATAACATCAACCCTAGCTGTCGTTTTAAAACTGCATTGGGATTATGTTAACAACAAGTTCTATGATCGTGAGAACAACCTCCAAGAACCATCTCAGGAAGAGAGACACAGCTCACAGTGAAATTATTGCTAATGTGACTTACAATGATATTTCTCAAGATGGAACACAGTACAGAGAATACCTAATTGGCTATCTAAACATCTCTCAGTATAAGACACAGATTTTTACTACAACTCAGAAGAAATAGTTGTAGAGGAATATAGATTTCCTACTGGAGTGAGAAACCATACTGGAACCATATTCTGAAATCATGGACTTTACAATGACTTTTGGTGGCATGTGAATTTGAATTCAGAAGAAACACATCAATTAAAGGACCACTCTAGGCACCCAGACCACTTCAGCTTAATGAAGTGGTCTGGGTGCCAGGTCCTTCTAGGGTTAACCCATTTTTTCATAATTATAGCAGTTTCAAATGGTGCAAAAGGGATTAAAAAACCCTTCTGTCACTTACCTGAGTCCAGCGCTGTTGTCCCTCTGCGCTAGTTTGGCCTCCGCCTCTGCTCCTCCCCTGCTGACGTCAGGAGACACCTAATGTACATTTGTGGCAATGGTAGCGCTTAGTGTATTAGTATTTCCACCATAGGAAAGCATTGTAAAATGCTTTCCTGTGGAGTTTTTTTGATGTACATTTTTTTTAACTTTTGTTGTGCACAGATTACAGACAGACAGTCTTGCATTGCCCCAATTACAAGATCCAAGAAACACATTGTGGCAATAGAAATATCGGCACATTTTTAAGATGTATAGGTTAGAAGAAACACAGTATTAAGGAAATCATGTTAGGCAAACATATAGTGGTAAATGCGAGAAGCATGGCAAAGGTAAGACTTAAGACCTGTGGTCACATAGAGTAAACGTGCTTGGTAACTAGTGTGGTCTAGCGAGGTCTCATTTTAAATTAAAGAAAAACAAGATAACATGCAAAAATCGCAGTGCATTTAGTGTATACCACAGGAATCAAGGTCGAGCTGTTGTTATACACTTAGCTTATTTTTCTGTGGGGTTTTTACATGACGCTGGATGTCATCCAGTCAGATCAACCAGCCAAAAGTTAG